CACAGCGCTCAGGACCTCAGGCTGGGTCAAAGGTTCATCTTCCAACATGACAACGATCCTAAGCACACAGCTAAGACAACACAGGAATGGCTTAGGGACAACTCTGTGAATGTCCTAGAGTGGCCCAGCCAGAGCCCTGACTTGAACCCTATCGAACATCTCTGGAGAGACCTGGAAATGGCTGTCCACTGACAGTCCCCATCCAACCTGAATGAGCTTGAGAGGATTTGCAAAGAAGAAAGGCAGAAAATCCCCCAGTCCAGGTGTGCAAAGCTTGTTGTGTCATACTGAAAAAGACTTGAGGCTGTAATTGCTGCCAAAGGTGCTTCAAAAAAATACTGAGTAAAAGGTCTGAATACTTAAGTACATGTGATATTTCGATTTTTCCTTTTTAATAAATTTACAGATATTTCTAAAATTCTGTTTTCACTTTGTCATTATGGGGTACTGAGCGTAGATTAATGAGAAAAATGAATTTGAACGATTGTAGTATCAGGCTACAACATAACAAAACTGAAAAAAGTGAAGGGGGTCTGAATGCTTTCCGAATGCACTGTATATACACATTCCTGTTAAAAGTTGAGAATATACTATAATATTTTGTTATATGACTCACTTGTTATTTTTGTAATACAGAAAGTTAGCAAAATGGGTTTTTCCAAACAAGGTAATGGCTTCTCACTTGAACTGAAAGGAACAAATATTCAGAAAAATACTGTTATCACCAACACCATCATTTTAATTAGAAAAAATGTCCTCTCAATACCCTGATGCAGGGGCTTGGGGGATCAAAAAAGTTAGGATGGTATCCTCAATCACAATATCACTGTCACCATGTTGACTTTTGTGCAGCACCCCGATGGGGCACAAGCTGCTTTGCATGCAGAAAGGAGGTCTCAAATTCAATCCCTGGCATGTCTTGGATATGATGAAGAAAAACTCTTACCTGAGACCTTAAAGAGAATTAAGACATGTAAAAAAAACAAAAACAGGCATGCTAACTATCAGGAAAAAAAATCCATATTGAGTTAAAGCCTTTCTTATAGTATGTAAGCTTTTGAGTTTTCAGTAGCTCTTCATCAGGCCACATGACTAAAAATCCAGAAAAAGGGAGGGAAATGGGGTTGATGTTTGAGTCATATCTGTTACAGATTATAGTCTTAAATAGTATAATGGCATCTCTAAGCATGTACTTTAAGTCTTATCAAGTATGGAAATTCTATTTAGTTGTACCAGGAATCTCTGAAAGCTTTCAATATAGTAATTTTCAAACTGTGGTTTACAGACCACAGTTTGGTCCATGGGGGTCCACCAGATAGTCTGCCGCAGCCTCCCAAAGTTCACCAGCCATAATATATTTGCACCTCTGCCTGCCACCTCTTTGGGTTTGTGCCAGTTAGCTTGCCAGATCACAACCATTCACTACCTCAGTCCCTGCCTCACTGCATTCACTGCTGGCCAAATGACCAGAGCCTTTCTCCAGCACAGCCCTGCTCTCTACCTTCACTGCTAATCACCTGGCCAGAGCCTGCTGCCACCTGAGCTCCCATTTCCCCACATTCACTGACAGTCAGGTAGTTAGACCAGAGCCACCACCTGCCTCAGCCCCCACTTCCCTGCATTCACCACCCAGTCAGCTGGTTCACAAAATTCATGGCTGACAACTGATTTACTGAAGCTTACAAGTAACAATATATGATGTTGGTGAGAAATGTTTATTTAGTCTTCCACACTGCAGAAAGTTTGAGAAACATTGTGCTAGAAAGAAGAAGCAAGCAAATAATTGTGGTTGTCCCTCATTTTTGGAAATAAACATCCGTTATAGTCAAAACTCTTTCCATCTTTTGTGAAATGTGGTATTAATGTACTATATGAATACTACAGTACTGTATGAGGCAGCTTGTATATGCCCATATATCCTAACCCAAATTCCTCTCTAAACTTCTTACTTGGGACAATTTAAGCAATATATCTATATCAATATCTACTTTAGAAACAGAAAAAAGTATAATTCTTTCTCACAATTTCTATTATCAAGCATTTAACATCATCCCTGTAGATAAAAGTTGGGAAACTGAATATAAAATATTGGCTATATTCCATTTTTAGATGAAGAAATTTAGGAGGTCTTTGTGATTTAAGCCACAACACAGGATGTGAGGTTCTTGTTTAAGAGAAGGAGGAGGAAGAGAATTAGACATTTGCTTTCCACATGTTTGCTTTGAACAGCACTACTGTCCAGAGATAAAAACGTCTTTACAATTTACAAGTTAACAAGGGTGCACATCTATCAATAATTTTTCTTATAGCACAATCCTATACAAGCCTACTCAGAAGTAAGCACGACTTAGTTCAATGTACTTATTCTTCAGAATGTACTTGGTATAGTATGACAACTTAAAAATGAGTAATATATTCATATCACTGAGACTAATTTCCATGAATTCAATGGGATTAAGTTTAAGAACCATTTATACTTCTGATATAAAATCCAAAATGTAAGAACATCCAAGAAAATATTACAGTACAAAATGTAATAATTTTAAATAAATACCTTCAGGAGCAATCACTTCCATCATTCCAGAAACCTGAATATGTGTAGAAGAAAAATCCAAATATTTCTAAGAAGTCATTTCTGAAAACAAGTTTCTTATACGTGTAGTTTAGGAAAGATAAAACCTGATCTGTGGCAATGGATTGTTGCTACAATCCCTGTCAATATTTGAAAGGGGTGGGGGGTATAGACTCCTCCTTTCTCCTCTATTTCTACTACCATTTTTTTCTTCCACTACTACTACCTTCTTCTATACTTTTTTCTTCTTGATGTTAATATTGTTCCATTAATACTACTGAATATATTAACTTTTATTAAATATACTTTTGTTATACTTTTCTCTTATTGCTTTATCAATAATAAAATAAATACATGTAAAACAGGTCATCTAAAAGCATTCAAAATATTATTTGTTAGCTTCCTATGCATAGTAATCTATATGAATATCAGCAACTGGCATTAAATACACACCTACACCTTCATGAAGTATATTATAATTTGATCAACTTTTGTAAAGAATATTATTCTTTACAAGACAGATATTCTCCAGGTAAGAATGATCAAAGATCCAATTCCTAATTGAGAGAGAAACTACACATTCCTTCCCTATTAATTCTGCCTTCAGTTTTCTCTCCTTTCTGTAAGGTCTCTCTTATATTTACCTTTTTTACGCTGTATATCCTTGGGATATATATCTGTCTTCTCAATCTTCATAAAGTACAATATGCATGTATAGACTAGATGAAGTTTTTGTAGTTTTATTCATATGTAACTAAGTATAATAAAATGATGGTATATTATTGTTTATATCTTGAACTGGAATGAGGCTAATGTCATGTAATCAAAGAGTAAGACTGGGACTGACAGGGCATTATTGTGCTGCTGTAAACTTTACGTAGGGCCAATGGAAAATCCCTGAACAATTACTACTTTTGCAAACTTTGTCAAAAGCTTACTAAGCCAAGTAATTAAGATGTAAGGAAGTATACTCAGTTTACTCTACCTTATTTTTGGGTACAACATTGCTGATTTGTAGTTTGCATATATAAATTATGCCGCTCTAATCTATCAATTATTATGATACAGAATGTGCCAACTAGATAGGTATAGAAATAGAAGCAGCAAACAAATAAGTTTAGTGAATACAAGATATCCAGAATTAAAGTGTAAGAAAAGACCATTCTAGAATCCACCTACTATCACAATACTCCAATGTGTCAGGATATTCTTCAGCAAGTCAGCCCCCAATTTTGCATTCAAAGTTGAAACATCCTCATTAATAGTTATTTTATGACCTTCTCTATATAACTGTTACATCAATTATGCATAGACCAGTTGTAAATCTTCATCTCTTGGGACTAAATAATCAGATTTACATAAGTATCATTTTGTGTATAATTATGTATCATATGTGCAACAGCTGCTATTTGCAGAACACTAGAACTTCTGCTAATAATTGTATACATGATCTGAAATCCATTTAAGCCAGTAAACTGCATTCAGCAGGTCTGGCTTGAGTTCAAATGGGAATAAGCCAATTTGAGTGCTTTGTAGATCCGACCAATGCTTGACATCACTCATGTACCCCTCTAGCAGTTCTTGCATGGGCTGGGAAAGAATAAGAACTATTCTGCTATAAAATGATATAAATTATCTAATAAATCAGTGCATCAGTGCTTGGTATTACTGCCTTGATGGGGCAGAAGGGCTGCTTTGTATCTGTGACCTTAGAATCATTAACAGAGAATCTCTGTGCTGCCTCTAAACATACATTGAAAGGCAATTAAAACTTTAACACTTCCAACATATTGATTGTAAATATTACACAGTGATGAAAAGATAAAAGAATTAATTCTCATTTCTGTTTCTCAGTCTTACATACTAAGACACACATGGCTTTGATGCTATTGCTTCCTACCACCATCCTCACTTTTTATAGCTCTATATGAAAGTCAAGTGACATTATAAAATACGGTTCCTATGCAGTTCCTCACACCCAATTCCACACAATCTGGCCCATATAAACCAGGGCTATAAACCAATTTTGCCTAGGAAGCCAACTTGTTGGTTTAACCGGCTGGGGATACTGTTTCTTTCGTTGTTGGAGGACAGGGAGAAAATAAATTGAAGACAGACAAAGACTTCCCCAGTGTGGCTTAGTTGGAGAGAGGCTGTACCTGTGGGATTTATATCTGTTTTGCAAACTTCAGACATACACCCTTTTCGAGGTAAGGCTCAATAGACACTCTATGGCCTTTTTACCATTAAGCGTTGTGAACGGCGAGAGCTTTTCTTGAGGGCCGTAGCTTGAAAGGACAAGTATGATCGAAAGTGCAAGAACGAACGAAAGGTCGAGGTTCCTACCTTAGGGGCCGCTGGCCTGGGAATCCCTTGCCCCACAAGAACATTTAACCTGGATAAGAAAAGAAGGGAAGGAGGGTTAGGGCCGTGTTGACGCGTACCCTCGACCTTCTTCGGAAAAGTATTTTAGAGCTACCTATTCATGGTGTGACTCGGCTGCTCGCGCTCGCTCACCGAGACAAGACGGTGAACTCCGGAGTTGCTCCCTGCACAATGCCGAGAGAACTTCTACAGGGCCCGGCGGCCACTACGTTGCCATAGCAACAGAAAGCTCTGGGCCATCTCCGAGCCTACCGGAAAAGGAGGCCGGCGGGGAACGCCGAGCTGAGATGGAAACGTTCCCGCCTCCGTGCATGACTGTGTGGGCGCCCGAATAAGGTAAAATAGCTCTGAGGAAGAGTCGCGTGTTGCACTGGTGAAGCCGCGCAGGGCGCGCGCTCGGAGAAGACTCGGAAGGAGCCGGAGAGATAGAAAGTTTCGGGCAGAGGAGAAAACGGAGAGCCGAACTGCTGCCTGAAAGCGAGCGCTTTGAGCGGCTTTTGAATAAATTAAATTGGGCTGGAACAGCTGTCAGTCTTGGTTCTGTATTAAAACAACACGCTAAACCGTGGGTTTAATTGGGCCATTGTATAAACCAAAATTGGATAAGTTCACAAATATGCTACGCTGTAAGCGACGGGCTGCAAACTGCAGTGACTGGGCTTGCACGGTAGGTTAAGCTCCATATATGCAAATCGCGGTTTTACAGTGCCATGTGAGAATCCAGCAATTGTTTATTCAAGATAGATATTTTATTCTTAATAAAATGGTGATGGTGAACCCAGCCACTGAAAGCCAAAGTGTACCTAACGACATTAATCACATACTATGCCTTGGAAGTCTCCTTTTTGCTTCACAAGTGATTATGCCAAAAAGTTGTATTCTCCCAAGCCAGCTTCCTGATCTTGGACTGAACTCTTTTGCCTCTTTTCTGTCTCTTTTTACTCAGGATGCTTGCAAAACCTGTAACCTCCCAATTAATCCATGTTTTATGGGGTTCTCCACGTTCATATGATTTTGATGACCCTGGAAGCTATTTGGGGTTACCTTTATCAATTTTAGGTGTACTGACTGGATTGTATTGCAAGCTGCATTGGTTGCCAGTCTGCTTCCAGGTCCAATTCAAGGTGCTGGTTTTGACTTTTAAAGCACTTCATGGCATGGGGCCGGGTTATTTGAGGGACCCCCTCTCCCTGATTACATCTGCTCGTCTCATCAGATTCAGCAAGTGAGGCATGCTGTGTGGTCCCGTCTTGCAAGGAGCTACACTTGGTGGGCCCAAGGAGGTGAGCCTTTTCTGGCATGGCGCCTGCCTTATGGAACATTCTTCCCCCCAAAGTGAGGTCAGCTCTATCCCTCCTTATTTTCCAGAAGTCCCTCAAGACCTGGCTATGTCATCAGGCCTGGGGGTTTCAGGGGACCGGTGAGATATTGAGGTGGCTCTGTTGCTGATTGAATCTTCTGTGTGTACTTTTTTTTTAAAACTTTTTAAACATATGAATGTGCTTGACATGTTTATTGCTTTATGCTTCTTTTGCTGTACGCCGCCCAGAGTCACTTCTTGTGAGATGGGTGGCCATATAAATTTAAATAACTGGATTATATCATCCATTTGAATCAAACATAAAAGAAAGAAACAACTGAAGCCTTATTCCTTAAGGGCAAGTTTTTTCAGTGTTTTCAAAAATATCAGGCTTGGATATGGGGTATTTTCATGGGAGAACTCAACAACAGTCACCAAAGCTACTTTCTCACTAGTGATCTATAGCATCTTACAACATTACTCAGTCATAGATACGGTGATATAAAAACTCTCTTCATTACTGATATCAGCAAGTGATGGTTAGATGATGCTATAAGAGGATATAACTTATCAGTGTGGAAATGGCTGAAGAATACTTCTCTGCACTTCTTGCTATCTGATCTGATGCAATGAGAGTATTACTGAGAGTCATTTCATACCATTACCAACTAATAAAATTGGTTTTCCCGCTGAGGCTATACTCCCAACAGGAACCTGGTAGTTCGATCAGCAGCATATCTGTCCCTCCAATGATCACATAAACTCCAAATCATTCTGAAGCAGCTTGGACAATGGGTGCAGGCATACTGGTACAAACAGAAGGTAACTTTTTAAACTACATCCAAAAGTTAATAATTCAGAAAAGAAGAAAAACTGAATTGGATCCAGCCTAAGTAATTGTAAGTTCCTATTCAAATTGATAGAGCAAGTCAAAATCTTTAAATGTATCTACAGTCTACTAAAGCTGAATTACACCCACTGTATATGTATAATATCTAACAGCTCCTGCATTAACATCATAGACTAATTTAATTTAGGCAGAGATGTTTGCATCTGACATATGAATTTGCTCACTCACAGGCAGGTTTACAGTTCAGAATACATGCATCTATCCATAGATACAGTATTACTAACAATGCAACCAAATATAGGAAATATAACATATGAGATCTATCTTATGCAAAGATATATTTTAAGCCAAGATTTCCATCACTGAGCTAATCTGAAAGCAATCACCTGCTTGCAGCAATTCACCAAGTCCAGTAAAATATGCTAGGTTGACTGTAAAAATACAAAATGTGCAAAACAGAACATTTCAAGAGAGGAATGGAAACAGTACTCTGACAAAAGAAATGACAGACAAGTCACAACTAAACCCTCAAGAGGAAGAACATATAAACACATTAATACCACTCCATAAGTAACATCTGTCAGTCTTTTCAGAATATGACTTAGCTTCCAAGTGCTGTCTTTCCATATAACAGAAATGATAAAACAATGTTCAAAGACCTATCAAAGATTGAATATGCAGGGGCTGCCTCTTTCTCACACAAATACCCTCTCTTCTGTACATTTAGAAGGGAAGAAGCCTCATTGTAGGCCTGACTTCCCTAAAGAAATAAGAGGCCTTACTTCTGAGTAGGGATTCATTGGATTGGGCAAGACGTATTGCAACTGTTCCTCTGAAATCAGCAGTACCCCAAATTGTATGTACATTTAATTTTGTTGGATCAGTTTGAAGTAAGACTGCCATGAGTTGGGCATCAATGAATCAAAAGCAGCAGCAAATATACATGTCACTACTTTTATCTTAACAATTGAGACATGTTCAGTCTTAGTAAAAATCAATGGATGGCTAGATCCTAGCTATATTTCTGCAGACCAATACTGTTACTGAAATGCAAGTATTCATAACTATTATGTCCAGTTATGTGTGTTTGGCAAAAATAGGAATATCCCAGGAATGTAATTAAACCCTGACAATGTAAGGGCTTCTTCACATGTCATCTCTGAAATGGTTACTAATTCTAGAACTAAAATATGCTGCTATATCAGTGCTTCCATAGTGTACAGCACATTTCTATAACCTAGTGGCCTCCAGATGTGTTGGAACCATGGCTTCCAGAATTCCCAAGGATTGGCCATGTTGATTGGGAATTCTACGAGCTGTCACCCAGATCCAGTTGGAGGACACCGAGCTAGGAAAAGCTGTTGCCCATTAGCAGAGAGAGGGAAGATTGGTATGGACACTACAGACCAGATTTAGCTTCTTTATAATTTGCCCCATTGACATGTCTTTTATATTAATTGTGACCCACTTAATGCCTCAAATTTGATGAGTCTTAGTCACCGTTAAGTGTAGGTGGATTTAGATCTACAGCTTTGGAGAATGAGTAACCAAATTCTGGACTCTGGATCCATTATAAACATATCATGACATGTGAAGGAGACCCAAATGAAATTGGGAGATTAGGATGAGCGCTTTGGTGTTATCATTTTGAAAAGCAGTTAAGACCTTTTCCAACAAGATTTTGGGGACAAGGCATGATATAATTGATGCAACCTACTGGTGATATATTACTATATTTAGTTCAAAGGCAACATGACGTGTTTTATTTATTTGAACATGTTTTAAGGGGCTATGCTTTGTATGTTTTTGTTTTACTATGAGCCACCTGGCATTGTAAGTTGAAGAGGCATATATGTACAATAAATAAATACATGATTTATAATCAATTTATCAAATAAATAAATAATCTAAAATATTTCATTAGTTGAAGTATGAAAGCAAGCTGGTAGAGAATGCTATTACAAAATACATTATGAATTAACCCAGATCCAACTTACTCTTAAAAGGTGGAGTCCTTCTGCACTGAAGATGTTACCTAGCCGGGTAATGAAACGTTTGCAAGAACCAAGCTCAGAGAATCCCAAGGACTCCACAGTTCAACCCTGAGCTACACATATTCACCTCCATTGTTACTTTTAAAAGGATTACAAAATTGGTCCAGATTGACTTTCTCAGTATGAGCAAAGACACTGTGTGAAAGTTGAGGAATTTATATATTACATCAGTGTTCTACTATGTAATTTAAACAACCTATCCAGACAGTTTCATTCATTCATTTAAATATGAAACTGAAGTGTTTGTTTTAAGCTTTTCCCTTCTAATCAGTATGACATAGATACAGTTGATTTTAATTGATTTATGTCTCATACATGTAACATATGTTACTCAGTTACATAGGATATGCAATTTATAGTGCAGTCCAGTGGCTTCTCAGAAGTAAACCCTATGTTCAGAGAGACTTATTCTCTAATATTGCTGTTCACAACATAGTTTTCTCCAGAAATTATTATCAAGTGGCATCACCATGCTAGCTAGCACTGATGGAAGACATCAGTTTAGGGAAACATAGGATGCCTATTTAAACAATGGAGACCTCTCTCATAAAAGATGAACCTAAACAACTATCCTATCTAGAATATATTAAAAAAAAGGATTATACGCTTTATATATTTCAAAAATAATATTCTTCATGTAAAAACACATGAAAATTCAAACCTACCTGCTTATTAGACTGAAAAGGATAACAGTTATTGTAATACAAATTGCTAATAAAAAAACAGAAATATTTAAAAAACAGCAGCTACTATGTTATCTCTTTAGGGCTGCAATCCTATGCAAACTAAGAATAAGCACCATTGAAAATACAGTAACAGAATTTACTTGTGAGTAAACATTTATAAAATTGGATTGCAGGACACTCTGGTAAAACTGCAACGATCATACACAATTTACTAATACATAGTGCTACTACCAAAATGATATAATTTGCCAGTACTGGAACAAGACTAAATGAATTAATATTTAGGCTACAATTTACCCTACACATTTCTAATTCAATTAATTCTGCATTTAAAGCGCATCTGCTTGAAAATAAGTTCTTTTGCACCATAATTTCACTCTCAGTCTCTAATAGTTCAAATTCATCTCAGGAGAGAGATTTAAGAATTGAAAGAAATTTGGCTCATAGATTAAAAAGCATTTGTATTAAAGTTAAAAGTAGTTTATTAGAAGGCAATATTGGAAAATAATCCTAAATTCAAATAATCAATCTTGAAACAGGCTGCACTTCCAAATTCTCATTAAAACTAATTACATGTTTTCTGCAGGCTGTACAGAATAGGTTTTAGTGATGTTACTCCCTTCAGTACCTAAACTGTGTATCCATGCGCCATGGATCATCTATACTGTACAGTTGGTAATAGCGCAACTTCACAGACGAGTTTTGATACAGTTTTCCCTTTTAAATAGTTTGATCAATGCAGTACTTTGAATACAAATCTGGCTTCATGTTTAAATTGCAAATGCAACTAAACCATTCTATTTCAGATGGATATTTCTACTAGCACTATAGTCCTACAGCAGTTCCCTTTGAAGCTGATATCCACAATTATTTTCAAATGTACAGCACAGAGTATAAAATTGAGAACACAAACTTTAATTTTGTTCAGAAAGTTCCAACTGTTTTTTTTTGTACTTTAAATGAGAATGCACGTTGGTTTGTAGCAAAATCTTTATTTTAAGATGTAGTTGACAAATTATTTTTCAAAGAATATGGACTTTTCTTTTTGTAATATATTTATATTACAAATTTACAAGGTTGAGCTCTGGAAATTCCGCAGGCTTTAGAAGATGAGCACTTATGGGATACCACTGCTTTGATAAATGTTGATAATATAGAAATAAAATCTATGGCCTCAGAAAGAGTTGGATATTTTCTATGCATGTCTGGAGTATTTAGTACATCTCAATCCCAAGTAAGTGTGCATACAGTACAGAATTGCAGCCCTGTTCTGACATCTGGAAATTAAAAAGAAATTTCTAACTCTATTTTCTCTTCCATTTTTCTCTTTTAAAGATGAGGAAACAATTAAAATGTGAAACAATTTTAGCAGTGCAAAAGACTGAACAAAAATGACATAAGAATCTGACAAAGCATATCCCTATAGCATTATACTGCCATATAATGTTTCTTCTGAACAAGCCATACTGCACGCTGCGTTTTCAACATCAAGCATGATCTTGCAAGTTAAGCAGTTTTAAGCCCAATGAAGTGAATGGAGGTTAAACAAAAAGGTACTTTAACTTTGGCTTGTGGCTCTTATTACATGGAAATAAGCCTTGCGGATTTTAACATCACTAAACATAAATTTCTTCAATATAATTATACAGCAGTTGATTTCTGATTCCCTTTTTGGATCAAGCTCCTGGTAGGCTTGTTCTGTATTATGCACTCTGCAGTTTTCAGCTGAGCTGCAAACAGTATATGCCTTGTTGTTTCCTTGCAACGTTTGAATGTTACAACTCTGATCAGCAAATGTTTTAAAAAATAATAGATGAAGCAATAAAAACGTCACACATTTTACACCACTACAATATATTTCACAAGGAAAATTTAGGTGATCTTTACAACGCTGAGCTTTAATAATATGAGCTGCAGGTTGGACTTCATACTAACGTGCTCTCCATCTAAATGGGGAATTTGTTGAGGTGAAACAAATACTTAAAATGGGTTAGTGGTATATTGTCAAAAAGTTTCAGAAGAAATAAACAATCAGGTGAAACCAACTCAGTGGGATCTTCCCAATATGACCCGAGTGTTGATGCATTTACTTTAACACGGCTGATGCACTGTAGGTCACTTGAAATATCTCATGGTACAGTCCCCATAAGGGAGTCAAGTAGCATAGTGGGGGGGGGGATTATTTTATTCAAAGGTATTAAATAAACTCTATACAAAAGGCTGATCTCTCCCCCTAAACACAGGTCGAAAAATTATACCCAGACACTCTATAACCAGCCCAATGATGCTGTTTTTATTTAAAAAAGTATTGTAGCCCATTATGGCCAGATGTTTCCAAATGTGATGGAAGGTGGGCTGCAATCTTCTGGCTGCAAGCACCTGGCATTGAAGCCATAATCCTTTGGGGGAGTTCGACAGAAGATGAAACCCTAGGATATCTTTAATCTGGAGTTAAAAAAAAGGGGGGGAATCCAAAGGGGGAAAAACCTCTTCACAGAAGGCTAATCTCAGATCCACAGAACAGTTCCAAATCTTGCTCTGCAGAGTGGGTTTCATGGCTCCACTTCAGATCACACAAAGGATGTCTATGGGTCACGGCAAAGCTTTTAGTTCCAGAGGGCTGGGTCCGAATCCAGGCAAAACCACCAGTCCCTTGAGTCTCCTGACCAAGGACCCTCCAATTGCTTCTCAAAGGAGATCTGTCTAATGCAAGCCTCAAAGGTGCCAGACTTCGGAGATCTTCCGGGTGTGTGTGTGTGTGTCGTGGCTCCCCTTTAAACGGCCTCCCAATAAGGAGCTCTCCTGGTTGTTCCCGAAACGTCCAGGGCTGATTCGGGCTGAAGCGGAATTTTCCCCGGAAAGAGAAGCGGCCCACTCCGAGACCTGAAAGAGGGCGGACGAGGAGTCAGAGTCGCGCACGAGCGCCTCGGCCCAGCGAAGCATCGCAACAGGTCACAAGTCGCGCGGCTCCTCTCGCTTGATTGCGCAAGCGCGCCCGTCGCCCCCCGCGAGGCCGAGGCCGAGGCCGGCCTTGAGCCTCTTGTTCTGGTGCGTCTTGACGTGCTTGGCGAGGTGGTCGCTGCGCATGAAGCGCTTGCCGCACTCGGCGCAGCCGAAGCGCTTCTCGCCGGTGTGAGTCCGTAGGTGCCGCTGGAGCTCGTCGGAGCGTGTGAAGCTCTTGCCGCAGAAGAGCCAGTTGCACACGAAGGGCCGGTCGCCCGTGTGCCAGCGCAGGTGCGCCTTGAGGTGCGACGTCTTGCCGTAGACCTTCCCGCAGCCGGGGATGTGGCACACGTGCTGCTTCTTTTTCCCGGGCTCGGCGGTGGCCTCGGGCCCGTTGCCCGCGGCCACCTGGCAATTGGGGCAGCGGCAGCGGCGGCACCTCCTGGCCGTGGCCGCCAGGGGCGCTTTGGGGTGCAGCAGGGCGGCCAGCTGCGACTGGTACTGCGCCAGCTCCGAGGGCGCCAACACCAGCCCGCGCTGCAGGCCACCCGCG